TACGGAAGTTCTGACTAACATCGCATTCACATCTAGTTCCATCCATCATAGTAAATGTTAGTTAACCTGTCATGTTCTAATTGTTGGTAAAATAAATTCTTACCTTTATAAACCTGACTGTGGGGCTGCGCAGTGGCACAGTGGTTAGAGCTGTTGCCTTACAGCACAAAGGTCCTGAGTTCGATTCCCAGCCTGGGATCTTTCTGCATGGAGTTAGCATGTTCTCCCTGTGCATGCGTGGGTTCTCTCCGGGTTCTCCGGCTTCCTCCCACAGTCCAAAAACATGACTGTTAGGTTGATTGGTCTGTCTAAATTGTCCCTAGGTGTGTGTGTGTGTGCATGATTGTTTGTCCTGTGTGTCTTTGTGTTGGCCTGCGATGGACTGGCTCTCTGTCCAGGGTGTACCCCGCCTGATTGCCCGCTGGAGATAGGCACCAGCACTCAATTACATTAAGAATAAATGTAAAAGTAGCCTTGTTGTCGCTCAGTTTTTTAATCGTTTACTCGGTGTTCGGCTGTTATCAGCAGCAGGGATGACTCGGCACATGACGGTAACGTTTTTCTACTAAACACCTGTAGAGCTGCTGCTTTTGTAAAGGTAGGAAGTGAAAGCAGATCATACCGCGACTGAAGGGCACTGTAAAACCTGACGTTTCCAACCACAGACAAGTCTGATAAATATGCTGCTATCTTGGCGTTTTTGCTTTCTGTAGACTATTTCTTGGCTTTTTAATGTATCTTTTATTGTTGGCTTAGCTGAATTGCTTCAGCAAACTGAGCAGAGTCCATTTTTTTAAGGTGGCGCGTCAGTGTTAAACGCAGCTACCTTTTCTACCTCATTAAAGGGGCATTATGGAAGTGTGACAGCCAAAACACGTATAGAAATAATAAATGTCTTCTTCATACATTCTCCTGCAATGCCCTGGTCCTGTAGAATGAGCCCTGGCATTTTTACTGTGATTGCCTGTTTTTCTGTAAAATCACAGAAAAAGAGAGATGCTCGGGTCGAGCAGGCTGCTTCATGCGCGTTCACGCTCAGGCATCGCCCGTAGCATTTGCTATCCGTAGCTTTAGCAGCAGAGAGAGAGGCAGTGCCACTTTGTCGCTGTTCCTAACGCCTAGTGACAAAGCTAGCTACATTTCTGAGGACCCTTAGCTACTTTCTGTAGAACTTTCTTCTAGATATTTCCTGCTAATTAGCAACAAAACAGCCATTTTCACTCCGAACCGTTCTTTGAGCGTTGTTTCAGCTGTCATCAAGGATATAAATGTTACAGATACAATAGACATCACTGGTGCTTTAGCTCACCTTGTAAGACATTGGACTCTCATGCAGAAGACCTGGGTTTGATTCTGGGTGTGAACATAGTTTATTTAGAATTTCTTTTTTACATTAATGATATTTTTTTTACAGTAAGATGCCCAAATTTTTATTTGAGACTCGCCGAACGGCATTGAATTCACAGATAAAAAAGATGTGGGTTCAACTTTCATTTTGGAACAATTTTTCAAGCAAGGGAAGGGAATGATCTGAGCATGCAGGAGGACTGACCCATCATAAACCTTTGTCGGCTGTGCTGAAGAGAAAGGTACAGAACCACATTATTTAATTAATTAGCTGCGTGTTCTCCTGTCCTCTGTCCTCCGGGCCACACACACACATGCACACGCACGCACGCACACACATGCACACACACACACACACACACTCACATGGGACTGTCTCAGCTGTTATTTTCGTTAAGGAGTGTGCACGTACAGCATGCGCGCCTCGTGCACGAGCCTACTATTGAAGCTGCCATTACGCGTTTGGCCTGAGGGGGCAATCGCGAGCATAAAAATTCAAAACTCCGTAAAGTCCCTTTAAATGCCCCACGTGTTTATCACATTCCCTTTGCTGTTCATTTAAAAATGCATCAAAATTACAGACATTTTCCCTCTCTTGAGGTGACAATTATGCTCTGTGTTAGCTAACTGCTACATGTTGTGGTGGAGGAATTCCCAGACTACCTTAAATTGTGAGACTTTACGGCGTTGTCTGTTAAACAAAGAACTCTGATGTAGAGGAACATTTTTAAAACTAATTCGTTATTATTTTGTTTGAAAATCTCTTTTTCGGGATGAATTTAAAAACCGATTCCGATTTCCTGAAAATCACGTGATCGGATGGCACCATCCCTAAAAGGATTTTGACCTTTAATGTTGACACCTCAACATTTCTGTTGACATTTCCTAATTAATTTAAATATTTTTACTCTAATCTTGAAACTGAGAAACAACACAATAAAATCCTATCTTGGTCTTTTGAGAGATCCTAATTAGTCATCATAAGATTTTCTATATAAAGAGTTATGTGGAAAGCCGGTTAGAAAAATGTTAATTATAAAGTTTTGCAATGATATTCAGATTAAAAATACATGTTATTTCTCTTCATCTGTGCTGATGCGGAACACAGAAGGGTGTTGTTGATGCCATTGTGTGTGCGTGTGTGTATGTGTATGTGTATGTGTGTGTGCGTGTGTGTGTATGTGTATGTGTATGTGTGTGCGCGTGTGTGTGTGTATGTGTGTGTGCGTGTGTATGTGTATGTGTGTGCGCGTGTGTGCGTGTGTGTATGTGTATGTGTATGTGTGTGCGCGTGTGTGTGTGTGTGTGCGTGCGTGCGCGTGCGTGTGTGTGTGTGTGTGTGTGTAAAAGGAGATACAAGCATCTACAGAAGGTATTTATGCTGTTAAACATGTCGCCATTCAGCACGTTTTCCCTCTGTGCATTCCTCTTTGGTTACTGTAAGCGTATGTAGGTTAACGGGAGCAATCACAGGCGAGGAACGAGTGTGTGAAAGTGAGAGGAGAAAGGTGTGAGCTGAGGTTGATTGCAAAGCCATTTCTCAAGGCTTTGTCGTGCTCTGTTAGCTGAAGTGCTCAATTTCAAAGACAATTTCTCTGCTGCTGAACACTTTGGCAAAGAGCAGCCTTGAGAAGAATAAAGTCTGTCGGTGTGTGTTCATGTGTGTGTTCCAGTAATATAGCTGCCTTTTTGTGCTTCATGTGTGAAACATGTTGCATCAGAAAGGCTGCTCATTGATTTATATATAGAAGCATGGCGGCTCGTTAATCAGTCGCATGTGAAGTTAGCATAAAAGCAAGTCTATTTCTAATCAGCACCTACCAGTCCCCCTCCAGAGATGGAGTGGTCACATTAGCAAGGTCACGATCTGACCTTCGTCTTGTCTCCAAGGCTTGGCTGTGTGCCCACAAGGTTTCTGGAGAGGTTCTCCATCATCTTCAGACTTGATCTCTGCAGGAGGTGCTGCTGCTGCTGCTGCAGGCTGACAAGAAGCCTTTCATACCTTCTCCTCCCTCCGTCAAACTTGAACACACCATAACTGTTCAGTGCCTCGTGCGCTTTATTTAAAGGTGCATTATGTGGAAATGAAGTAAAAATGACATCTTGTGGTAACATTTGGTAACTGCAACCACTTTAAACAACTCTGGAGCTTTCTGCTGGCCGTCGTCGTTGGCGCTGCAGTATTAGATTGCAGTAGACACGGCACCCCCACACCCACTGACGGTAAACAGTAGTTACATCCCTCCTTCTTTTGTTTTGAAAGGAGAAAATCTGGCAATCCCCACAGCCAGCTGAATATGAAAAATGTGTCAGTATAACCTTTCTTCCAAACGACTGAAACAGTCTTACATAATGCACCTTTAACCGCTTGAACCCTAGGCCATTTTTCAGAGATTGTATTGAAAAAGACGTGCCCAACGTGAATCGAGTATGTCTCATAAACTACCAAGTTTTATTTGAGCTCTTTTGGTATCAAAATGAAGGTGAGACTTTAATGTTTACTCTAATATTCTAAAAAGTATCATTTATAATTTTCACTGAGAGTAACAGGGTCGGGAACACAACAGCAGTGAGAAAAAAATCTGTTCGGCCAAAACAAAATCCACTTTATGACGTTAAAATCCCTTCTAAAATACCGAGTTGCAGCTCAAAACATCTAGAAATCCACAGAAAGGGCTCTGAACATTTGCTGACCCAAAAACCATGAAAAAAGAAGTATGGAAAGTTAGAGAGGTTTTAGTTGGTAGACATCCAGGCGGACCTCTCTTGGACCATTCTGGGCACCTTTTGGCACAGTTTGTGCCGTCGGGAAATCCTCAGGTTTTTTCTTCAGGTTCTTTTTCCCTCATTTTTAACTTTTCTTAGAAAATATTTCCATCTAAAAAAAATGTGTTTTTGAGGGTTTTTGGGAAAAATCTACCCAACATATTTTATAATTTCAAAATGAGAGAAAATCATAAACAGGAATTAATTTGGCTCCTAATGGAGCAAATTTACTAACAACAAAATGTCAAATAAAAATTCACAACAAGAAACAGAGAAAACTGAACAACTATCTTACATTAAAAAATAGATAGATAGATAGATAGATAGATAGATAGATAGATAGATAGATAGATAGATAGATAGATAGATAGATAGATAGATACACAAACACAATAATTCTCGTGACATGTTTATTTGTTTATCACAGTTTGTTTTCAGTGTTTTTGTCTCATTTTGGTTACATGTAATAGTTAAAGTGATAAGTTGATCTAAATGGGGCATAAATGCACACAGTTACACAATAACAGGATTAAACCCATCAAACACAGTTCTTGTCTTTCATTTGCTTTAATAATGTATCATTTATATTTATTAAGATCACAATTTTTTCAATAAACAACATATACGCATTTAAAACCCAGTCCTCGAAACTCTCTCTCTCTCATATATATATATATATATATATATATATATATATATATATATATATATGGTTCTTTTTCTGCTTGAAGTTCAAAGGTACACACTTGATAATGAAATATTTGAAAACTTAATGTGTTGTCTCTGTTTTATTGGTCTGTCTGTCTCTGGATTGAATAAATAGAGAGGAAAACATAAAACTCAAATACTTATACTTAAAATATGTTTTTAAATCTTTTTTTTTCCAG